CTTTCTGACATTGTATCGATTTTTCATCTTATTTTTCCCTTTCTTGGTTGCTTTTTTAAGTTCTGAGTTCTCCATTTTCTTTCCCCCCTTTCTCTTTTCTTCCTCAGCTAAGATTATTTGTCCATTAAAGATGGCTTCTTCTTCTTCATCCCAGCCTTCTTGTTGTTGCATTTCTTGATAGGTAGAAATCGCCATTTCTAAAAAGTGAAAAATAGATCCAGAAGAGCCCTTGCCTTCTTGTTCCTCTTCTTTTAGCTTCTGAAATTCCATTTGCAATTCTTCAACAGATAATGCCATTTTTTCTTTTTTTTTTAAGAACAGCCCAAATGTTTTAAATCTTTCAAGAAATAGTTCCCAAAAATCCCAAAGTCACAAAGCAATCCAAATCAGGACAAACTGTTTCATTTAGCACTTTCTTCTTTTTATATTTTCTCTTCCTGGGGTAGAATTCAATTACACAGTTCCAAAGTAATTTTTTAGAAGTCTTATTGCCATTTATTTCTGGTCTTATAAACTCCAAGCAGTCTCCTTCAATACAATCTTAAAATAAGTTCTTTACCTCTTCCCTCCCACTTATAGCAAAAAAAAAAAATAGTTTTTAATTCCAATGTTCAGAAATCTTTTATCCACTTGGCTTTAAATTTCAAGTTTAGTTACCTTCTATGCCCAAGCAGGTTTTTCAGATTTCCATCTGCTATTTCCGTGGGGAGGGAGAGTGAGAGAAAATAACTTTCCCTTTTAGACTTTCTTCTGCCGCTTTGCAGTCTTCTGGGGAAACAATGTATCATTCAAGGGATTAAATTTCCAGGGTGTTTAAAGGTTCCTTGTTGTCCCAGATCAGCCAAAAACTTTTGCTTTCTCTGACTTCTTATCCAGCTGCAGGTTTCTTTGTGGCGGCCATTGCTGACCACCGCTCCACCGCCTTGGGAAAAAGGAGTTTAGCTGGCTGAGGAGGGGGTTTGCAATACCCCCAAGCCCCTATCCGGATCTCCTCTATCTTTGGTTGCCTCTATGGGGCAACCATATCCTCCAGATCCAGCTGGATCGGAGGCACTTCGGCGGTGAGCGCAGCAGGAACCGCGCACGATCGTGGATTCCTGCCGCCGCCGAAGCCTTGCAAACTGAAACCCCGAGTACTGTAATTCTTTATTATTATACTTTGTTTTAGACAACTTTTGAATAATATCACATTTTTAAATCTATGTATACAGATAGATAGAAATCTAAGAATTGTACTGAATTTCAAATTTGCTGAAATTCTTACATAATGCAGCGTGTCCTGTATCTTCTATTAGATATAATTAAAATAATTCCTCAATTTATTCAACATAATTTTTCAACTAATTTACCTCAAGGATTTCTTCCACCCACTTCCTCTGCACATCTATGCTAATTTGCTATTCTTCCCAATGGCTAGCTTAAAGAGAGAGCAGAAAGATGCAAACATTTTCTCCCTAGCAGCCCAAGGGTCAGAAAGTATAGCTGGGCAGACCAGCTACTGAACACCCATCTAGGGCTGATCACCAGCTGGGAAATTGTGATAAAAGAGATGGTTCAGTGAACAGTTATAATTGGCTCCATTCAGAGGCCTGCTTGACAAGCTGTGCTAAAGCACAGCAGAGAGTCTTTGTGTGCTGGTCGGGAACTCTTGCTCTGCAGAGCTCTGTTGGTGACCTATGAAGAAATACATTTTTCCTACCATCCACTAGATCAGTTAGATCTAGTCATTCTGATGCATGAGTGGCGCTCCAAACTAGTAGGCATAAGACTCTTCTTGATCTTAAGGGAAGCGCAAGATGCCTTTTTTGTTCTTGGGAAACCTTCTCAGCATTAAAGAGAGGGTTTTTAAAAAAAAAAACACCTCCTGATTCTCTAATGTTCATTTGAACATTCAAGACACTGGTGCTGTGAACCATTGTCAGTATGGACCCCTCATGATAGAAGCTTAATGAATATTACCTGTTTCTACTACAAAGAAATGGGTATGTATGCCTGCAATCACACAACTAACTGTGAGTTCTGAACTCTGTAAACACTGAACACCGAAAGAAGGATCAATATAATATCTTGGTTGTGAGGAATAACATTTTACTGGTAATATATGAAGCATAACTTTATAGTCAAGCTTATGCTGTCCATCTCCCAATCATCCTTTCATTTACATTGGGGATGGGGAATGATGGTTTTTTTAATGACTTGTAGATTTCAACCCCGAGAAATCCTGACTGGCTCAGAAATTCTGGGAGTTGAAATCCACAAGTCATAAGAGGGGCATAGTTCCCCATCTTTGGTTTATAGGAAAATCCTGTGATGGCAAATGAAGTCTGGGATAATTTCTAAAACACAAAATCCAGCAAAAGTCCAAAACTGGTTCCAATAATAATGAAGTATTGGAGGAAGAGTGCAGACTTAATGCATATCAATCGGAGGAAAAAGTGCTAAAGGCATGACCTTGGTTGCCAAATATGCTGTGTGATAAAATAATATAGTGATGTAATTATTTCACTCTTAGATCACTAGAAAAGAAATAATGGAGCAGGATTTTTTGAAAAATACATTCTTTTAAAATGTTTTAGACCTGTCCAATTTATAGCCCATGGGATGCATGCAACCCTAGACAGATAGTAATGTGGTGCCGTAATATATACAATAATATTAAAGATATTAAAATAATATAAAATATATTAAAAATAAAGGAATATTGTTATTTATATGCATCAATTATGTTACATATTGTATGTGTAGCCCAAGACAATTCCTCTTCGCTCAGTGTAGTCCAGGAAAGTCAAAAGGTTGGAGACCCATGATTTAAGCTCTAGGACTAATGGGAAAATAGGCTATCTATTCTTTGGGTGACCTCTGCATGCGCATAGGAGTAATCTTACATAATACTCCCCATGTAGTATTAAATTTAACCATTGTGTTTCCCTCTAAAACCAGGCCTAGTGCAACAGTGTAATCAAATTTCTTCCTTCCCAGTATCTTCTTCATGTATCTGTTAACTTTCTGATCTTCACATGCCCCTTTTTGCAGCTAGTTTTCCTTATTTCCCCACCCATCCCACCTTTTAGTTTTAAGTTTAATGCCATAGATCTATGGATTCTTATAAAAACATCACGAGATCAATATTTTTCAAATATAGCAACCTTAACATGTGTGGACTTCAGCTCCCAGCATGCAGTCTAGGGAATTCTGGAAGTTGAAGTCCACAAGTCTTAAAGTTGCCAAGTTTGAAAAACACTGCCCTAGATTATGACTGCAGCTTCTACACTGGAGATTTACTACCTAGAGCAAGGTAACCTTGTTGCTGCCATGTCAGGGGACACTTATTTACATTTTGTACAATATCAATACATGGATTTTGCGGGGGGGGGGGTTGCTGACCACCAGACAAATGACAAATATGATATCAGTTACTTAATTTTCTTATTTAAAAAAATAATTTATGGCTTTGGAACTTTTAGAGTTGAACAGTTCTGTTAACAGCTAGCTTGAAGGCAGGAATGGTGAATACTGCTACCTTCTTCAAGTTCTAGTGTAAAAAAGATGTCTCACAGGGAAGCACTTTGAATATTATATAGATTTCTCTCAGGTAAACGGGATCGATATATTTATTTAAAAGTGGGCTGTGAATTCTCGTGGAACAGAAGACTAGTAATCTGAAAACATTTCTATACTTCTTGTTTGAATAGTTTTTGTGACATCCTTGGAACTCTCTGTGCTTGGTTGATTGTTTGCAAACATTTCATTACCTGTCTAGTAAGATCTTCAGCACACTGAAGATGCAGTCCAGAGCACTGAAGATATTACCTAGTGAGGTAATGAAACATCTGCAAGCCAACGATCAAGCTCAGAGAACATCAAGGATGTCACAGTTCAACACTCCTGACCCATATATATTCTCTTCTATTGGTGCTAGATTTCTGTTGTATTTATAAACAGAGGTCTCTTTAAAGCCACTTTCTTGTTCTCTTCTCTTCATATGGATGGATTGTTGAAACAAGAGGGAGCAGTTTGCTCTGAATAAAAAGTGTTCCCTTTTCCTTAGATTTGAGTGGCTATCTTATAACTTGTAAGAGTTGTAGGAAACGGCCCATGACTTCTGCTTGTGTGGCAAGCTTTCAATGAAACAGCTACAGGCATTCCTATATACCAGTGATGGCTAACCTTTTCCACATCACGTGCCGAAAGTGCCTGCACCCATGATGCAATGTGTGTCCGGCCCCCTGTGCATGCATGCACAATCCCCTGTGCACCAGGTGCCTCTTTGCATGCGCGTGCAACCCCCTGTGTGCCCCACCCCCTGCACATGCGCGTGCACCTCCCATGCATGTGTCTCCCCCCTGCACATGCACAACTGGCTGATGGGGGTGCACACACATGCGCAGTGGAGTTCTTCCGGGTGACCTGTCGCTTGCTGGCAGAAATGCTCTGTGTGCCACTTCCGGCATGTGTGCCATTGGTTCGCCATCACAGCTACATGCCAATTTATTAACATATTACAAGAGCTGTGGTGGCACAGTTGTTAGAATGCAGTATTGTAGGCTAATTCTGCTGACTGCCAGCTGCCAGCAGTTCTATTCTCACTGGCTCAAGATTGACTCAGCCTTCCATCCTTCCAAGGTCGTTAAAGGAGGACTCAGATTGTTGGGGCAGTATGCTGACTCTGTAAACTGCTTGGAGAGGGCTGTAAAGCACTGTGAAGTGGTATATAAGTCTAAGTGCTATTGCTATTTATTTCTGAGTGACAAAATACGTTCATAAATTAAGAAAATAAAACCCACCACTGCAGTAGACCCAGACAATTATTATAGATTGACCTGTCCTGTGCTAATTATTATTGCTAGAAATGTATCACTGTTTTAAATACAACATATGCTATTGTCTTAACAAATTGGGTGGGGGGGGGGCAGGACAGCATTTGTCTTGTAGGAACAGCCCACTGCCAAGCCTACTAACCACTTTGTCTGCACATCTAATATTGTCCCATTTTGTTTAAGCTGGCAGGATTCATCTACGCCTGTTATGTTGTGAAATGTATCACCGAAGAAGAGGACAGCTGTAAGTACTAAAGGTTTATTACGTGCGGGTTGAAATCATTTTTATATCACCCATCTCGCTCATCCATTCCACTCTAATACCATTCTGAATACTTTGTCATGCTATAAAAGGTAGGAATAAGTTAAAGTGTAGAAGCTTGCCTAACATATAGGCTCCAAAAAAGGTCCAAGTGTTTGAAGCCAATGGAGAGAAGGATAACGTGCAGCTTTACAAAATAATTATTTTGTTCTGAAATGAAGCTGCACAAGTTCTCTCCCTCCAAACATTAGCACAGCTCGTTTTGTTTCTCACTATGACCACAGCCTTACTAATGCTTTATCCTGTATGTAAAACTTGTAACTGGCTATGGGGTTTGTAGTGGCATTTGGCAAGTTTCATAGCAAAGAGATGAAATAGAAGAGAGTCTGCTAACATCAAAAGAGGGTGCAGTGATATATATATGGCTTTCTCTTGGTTTAACACGCCTGTAACTCCTAATTGAATAACATGATAACCCATCAGTGGCTTTAATTTTACTTTTGATATAGGTATGGGTATTGTGAATTATGATGCAGTTCAGAATTCAGAGTTGGCAAGGTCTGTCTTGGATTTGAGTTTCTAAGGAAAGAGGCTTCCATTTAATCAATTCAGAATTTGTGATTCAATTTGATAAAAGATTCAACAATATATTACAATGTGAAAACATCAACATGTCTACAATTGTTCCTGGTTTTGGGGGGTTTTTTTGCTAGCCTTTTGTAAGTCACTAAAAATCTGACTTTGCTATGAATCCTAGGGCCCTGATAGTATGGGTGAGCCCAATTTGTGATTAGTTTGAGTGTTTATGAGTATTCTCTGCTGCTATCCTATGCTTTTCCTGTTTTTTTTCCCCCAATTCTGTTTGTTCTTATTATTTTTACTCTGATTTAATTATCAGTCTTCTATATATGTAAGTTTATTAATTACATAAATAATGCTCTGAAGAGGGTGTTGTCACAATGGTGTACACAATGCACTGTTATAAAGAATTAGTTTACAGTTTTTCAGCAATGGGCATGCAGTCTTAGATTCATTCATACAATGGAGACTTAATACAATACAAGATAGTGACAGTAAAGTAGCAGAAGACAGGCATAAGGATTGCTTATTTGTTGGGGTAGGCTGAATCAAAGGAAAATGAAAGATGAAGCTGAAAGAATTGAAGAATGGCAGTTTAGATGTAGGACACAAGACTAGGTAGAATGAGAGATAAAAGAAGATAAAGGTAAATAAAGATTTGGGGAAAGACAAGAAAAAATGTTAAAGAAGAACAACAGAATAATTGGAAAGTCTCCTTCTCCCCCTTCTTTCCTTCTTTCTTTCCTTCCTTCCCTCTCTCCCTCCTCCCATGTTCTTAAAAAATCTCAGGAGAGAGACACAAACAGCAAGACAACACACTTCCCAATGCTTTGACAGGTAGGGATTGTAGAGATAATAAACTAATGAGGAACTGACTTGTGTCAGCCAGCCTCTCATACCACTCAGCTCCCAGTCCCTTCCACATATGGAAGGAAAACTGCAACAACTATTGAGTCTCTGCAAAGCCCAAAAGACAGCTGACTCTCTCTGAATTCATTTAAAGACACTGCCTTGGTTCTACATCCTGAATGACCTTGGAGATGTTTGAATGGAATTGCCCTTTAAAGGTGCACACAATCCTAATAGTCACCCTTCTTCCTTGGATTTCTTGGGTTTATTATGTCATCATTTTAAACTTCCATTCTACCTTTTGCGCTGTACATCAGGGCCATGGTCAAACATTACAAACAGTTCAAATATTGTAGCCACACATATAGCTACATGCACAAAATATAAATTAGAAGTACATTTTTCCTTAACAATTTACTTGCAGTTTTCTCATCACATCTGTGCCAACATAACAAAATATTTCTGAAGGTAGAAGTACATATTATGTATAAGTGATCTAGAAACTGAAAGCTCTGTGTTGAGTTTTTTCACCATTCCAAAAATGTTCACCTACACTTATTATCTTACTTCTCAAATTCTGCTACAACATTATTTTAAGGAGTCCTGGGTGGCGTAGTGCATTGCAGGCAAACTCTGCCAACTGCCAGCAGTTTGATCCTAACTGGGTTCAAGGTTGACTCAGCCTTTCAACCTTGTAATTGGTTATATGAGGATCCCGGTTGGTGGGTCTCATATAATAATGTCCACAATGCAAATAAATAGACTTAAAATGCTATTGGGAGATGGAGTGGGGTTAAAATTGACAAGAGACTATTATTTTTCAACTCCAGTCTGTGTTGAACATGACATCTACTTCTGCCATGAAGATACAAATGTTGTTGTTTTTAATATTTCAGTGACTATCTGCATAGTTTAGCATTCTGAAGTCTCTTAGATTTCACCAGGAGAAGAAAACTAAGTTCTAACTGTGGCTGGATTGGATCTCATGTTGTGGGCAAAATTATTTCCTAGTTTTCTTTCCTAAAAGAAAATCCATGAAATCTGAAATCAGGATGCATGAATACCTCAAATCTTTTTCTTCTCTCATAATTGATAAGTACTCCAGGGTTGTTATTGAATTTATTATTCAATATAAATACAATACAAGGTGTTTTAATGATCCAAGAATGTGCCACTTTTGAGCAGAAGATGAATTTATTTTATGCTTTGTTTTTATAGACCTTAAACAGATGCTAATTATCACTCTCTATAAGGGATATACTCCAATAAAGCATCTGATCAATAAAAAGATTTGTTTAGGTACATGTTCACTATCTCATTGGTGTCCTAAGAAGTTTATAAATAAGCCTAGTGCTTAGGATATCTTTATTTCCCTGTAATATAAATAGCTGTAGCAAGTTTTATTAGCAAGGAGAGGTAAAAATCTCTGTCAGGTTGTACACCTGGTGACTTCTCTTCATAAACATCTCTAATCACATAAGTGATTTCCCTTTCTGCCTTTAGTAGTCCTTCTCCCTCCCTCCACAACTTCCTAGTTCAGCCTACAGGGACATCTTAATAATCTAATATAGGTATCTTAAGACTGAGCAACAGCCAGTCAGCTGAGAGAAGGGGAAACAAAAATTAGTTGTAGTCCCCTATAATGTATTGGATCATTTTACATTCCATATCATACTTTCATTAGTAGCTGAATGAAATTATGTTTGGTTTGGATAGTATTGTAAATTAGGCAGATTCATATTCTAAATCAGTAAGGTCCCCGATGTAGTTAAAATACTCTGGCATTAAAACAATCATTTTATTATTTTAGATAAACTGTCCAAAATGTTATTGGGAAATATTCAGTGAAATCTGGAACTCTTGGAACAGCCAAGGCATAAAGAATATCAGTTAATGGAAGATTTTGGAGCTTCTCTAAGGGAAGTAAATGGGAAGAAATGAATTAAGATGTAAAATAGAATATATACCTAAAAATTAAACTTTTTAGAAATAAAATGTGATAGAGTTAGAGTTCTATGACACAAAGAGGAAATCTGTGTTTCCCTTATTTTTCACAGTCACTGAATTTGATACCATTAACCAGTTGCATTCTACTGTCACTGGGAATATTAGCAGTAGCAATCTAAAGCAACTAAAATGTCAACATTTATCTTTCATGATGGAATATCTAATCCACACATTATAGTTATTTTTGGAACTCTTATTAGAGCCATATTTTCTTAAAATTGCACAGTAATTTTATTACTTTGAAATATTCATTTAATCAGTTTAAACTCTATGCAATTTGATTCCTCCAATACAAGCTTTATGTCAACTTCCCCAACAATTTTGGTTCTTTTTTTAAAAAAAATCATTAAATATTTAGTTACTTCATAAAAAGGTTTAGAGAGTCATCAATAAAACACCAGCCTGCTGGCATTTGTAGATTACACGAAATTAAAAGAAGAGATTCTCTGTTTCTAAGACTGCTTTCTCTTTTAGCACTACTGTGCCCTAATAAAAAAGGAATGGTGTAAACATAGTGAATTTTAAAAGATAAAGCCTTATTACCATATCTAAAATAGCTCTTCCCTGTTGTATGTTCCTCACATCATTGTACTTCAATATCTGTAACCCCTATCAAGAATAGCAAAAGACTACTTTTTTGTGTGCAAATTGTTGTTTTTTTACTCCTAGTGACTGTCTGGACTAGCCTCTGCAATTTTCGTGGCCAGAAGAAATTTACAAATCACATTTTTTGGAAGTGGTTTACCCTTGCCTGCTTCTTAGGACTGAGAGAGAGTGGCTGGCCCAAGGTTACCCAGTTGGCTTTGTGGCTATGATAGGATGATTTCCGGTTTTCTAAGCTGGTGACTTTATCACCACATTTTGATGATAAATATATGTGGAGATGAAGACATGGTGGAGGCCCGCATGAAGAATTTCAAAAGAGCTTTTCCTGATTCCACTTTAGGATAAATGCAGTTTCCCAAATAGAATTATTTAGATAAAAGAGTATTATTTTTAAACAATTTAGTACAGAGCTTTTGTTGTGTAATATCCTTTTTTGTGTCACTTATTTTCCACATTTCTTTCTCTTATTCTGTTTATAGAGCAACACACGAAACTGATTAATATCACATTAATGTTAGCAAGTATGATCTATATTGTAATAATAGCTATTCTCTATAAACCTGATTTTTTTAAGGAATATCTAGCTTTACACATCATCTTAGAAGTAAGTTTCACTAAGTTCAATGAGCCTTTCTTTCAGATTAATGTATATATAACTACCATCTCCTGAAAATATATAGAATAGCATTTCTTCTAAGAAAATTTACAGAATCAGGCTACAAACTACAATCCTAAAATTACAGTCATTTAACTCTGTGGAATTAAATTATTTTAACCCTTTTCCACAAAGCATTAACTATGTTATGTTATGTCATATTATTACTGTTACATTCATATTTATAATATGGCCAAGCACATTATCATTTATATTAGTAATTTCTATCTGAAGATATTGTAGATAAACACCAGTATCCCTTAATGGGAGTGAGGCAGCTACTTGT